ATTTAAAAGTTTGTATAAGGTTCAAGATTTGAAATAAGGCTGCTTTCATTTTCTAGTTTATATTCGCTTTTTCTTCTTTGCATATTAGATCGAATATGAAATTTTGCAGTTGACAGTGAAATCAAGCATTTCGAAGTTTTTATTGGTAAATCTGAACCCAGTAGTCAATCTATATTATATATTTGTTGGTTCCAAATGCTTCATCTTCTGGGCAATCCTGCTGATATTATTTTTTTCAATCCTGCACTTGAAGCAGTTTTACCACTTAATCCAATCAAGGCAATATTGAAATGTGGTAAGCGAATTCAATTATGATTATGATTGCACTTCCTATTTATTTTATTATTTAATTGTGTTTTATATTTTTACTAATATATTATATTCATTGTATATTTCATTATCCACCTTATTTTTATTTATTTTATTCATTGTAGGAATTGAGATGAATTCAGAAGGTCGATCGGTTATCAAAAATTTAGACCAAGAATTATCACCTTATTTGGTCAATCGTGTCCGATATTGCTTCTTTTTGGCATGTGCTGCTTTTGCGAAACTGATCGACATTTTCTATGGTACCATATAATTATAGAATAGTCAGTAGGATATGTTATATACCTCTTTTTTCAATTTTTTCAAAGTTCGATAATAATCATTTCCAGCAATAATCATTAATCATTTCAGATACTATATTTCAGATATGTTTTTACGTTTTATTTTTACACTGATCCTTTTAGATACCATTTTTTACGTTTGTTTCTTTATTTAATGTTAAATTAAAATTGTCTCCGTCATATAAATCATGCAAAAAATCATTTAAGGTGATTTTAATTTATCGATCGATTTCAAAGAATCTGACGAATTTCTTCGTCTTTGGTCAGAAGCAAATCAAAATGCTCAGAACGATTGGCAGAATCAGCAGCAGGTAAATATTGGCTTCATATATTTTATTTCATATATATATATATATATATATTCCATTTTTTTTGTAATTAAAAAGTATTAAATATATTTAGAAAAAAAAATTTGTGTAAATTCAAAGCATTTGCCTTTTTATGAGATTAAAAAGTTTATTCATTTTCTCTTTATTATTTATTTGTAATTTAATTATTTCCTTGCTTATAGGTGATGACTCAAAGTTCTTCATTGATTACTGCTGATAGTTCGACATTAATTGCTTCTCAGCTAACATTTTCTAATGGCATAGGTGGGAATTTTCTAAAAAATGCATTACACGGAAGCTCTCATTCATCGAAAAGTCGTGCAACTTCAGGTAAGAATTATATACTCGAATTTTGTTTTTTTCTGAAACGAATTTGGAATTCTAGCTGGAAATTCTTGTAAGTGGAAAATTTTGTTGTTTGCTTTTTTTTTTATTTGGTCACCACAGTCTTTTTATGAAAATAAAAAAAAAAATCTATTATATTGTGGTCTATTATATTGTTTTTGTAGGCTTATTTTAACGTTTCTTTTTAAAGGGATTTCTCCGTGAGATATTGCTTAAAGAATATTTGTGAAAACGTTTTTTTTATATCAAGTGGCTGTTTAAGTTATTAAAATAAAATGCTTTTAAATTTTTTAAAAATTTTTAAATTTTTTATTTTCATTTGTTAATTTTTCTTGAATGCGATTATTGTCAGCTGATTTCCCTTTGACCACTTTTTATCCTCTTATCTTGAAATTTAATGGTTATTCTCGCTTCTAAATAAGTGAATTTTTTATTTGCTGAATTAAATTTATAATTAATTTCTTCCAAACTTTTTCATGATCAGTTTTCCTCAAGCATTTTTATAATTAGTTTTATCGTTTTTTAATTATCTTTATTTTTAAATATTTACTGTTTGTTTTTTGTTTTTTTCAGTTAATCATTTTTTTTTTAGAAAAAGGTTAAGTTGTACAAAAGAATGTTTAATCGCAAATGTTTCAAGAAATTGACAAAATAGACAAATACTTTAAATGGTGTTTTTTAATATTAGTTTAGATCGCTCAATAGTTGCTCCAGTCCCATCTTTGCAAACGAACATCGATGATATACCATTGGATGTGGCAAAACCAGATTCGTGTCAATTCGTATGGCATTATTTACATAGTATTTTTTTATATATGGTCATAACTTTTCTGCAATATCTTCTTTATACATGTTAAAACCTCTTGCCTAATAAAAATCTTGATTAACAAGATTTGAAAATTAAAATCAGAAAATTTGTTATAGAAATGGTGAAATATTAGATGGCAAATTTCGAAAATTTATTGTGGATTTTGCAGTGTAGGACGGCAAAAATTTGTTTAATTTTATAAGATTACTTGTATTCGTTATCACTTAAAAAATTAACTATTAGAAAGTTCTTCATAGTTCTAGTAAATCGTTTCCATTTTATCGATTTAAGAGGAAATACTTTTGGAACTCTTGTTGTTTGGGACTTGTTATTGATATAGGTGTTGGTGTAGTTACAATCATTTTGATTTTCTGCTGTAATCGTTTTCTACTTTAGTTATATGGAATTTTTTTTTAAAGTTTTGAAGTTTTATTCATCTTTAATTTATAAAGTTTTAGGCAACAAAGCGCAAGATCCTTTTATTGGTGAACATCAGCCTAAAGTATCGCGAATGCTTGATTTGTTTATGGATTGGCTAGTAAAATCTGCCCTTGTACGTCCATCACGATATTCTTCAATATATGGTATTTTTTATCAGTTGATACTATAATATTCCGCTTAAGTACAAATAACTTGCTTCATTTATTTTTCTTAATAATTTTGCCGTAATTGTCGGTTTCATTTATAAAATGTTCATTTTTCTCTGTTCTTTTCTATTCACTTTTTCTATATATTGATATATTGTACATTACACTTAATTCATCTAGAAATAGAATATTTGTAATTGAAACCACCGTCCAATTGATTCTTTTATTTTGATCAATATAGCTTATCATATGGGTTCATTCAAATTTTTTCTCTTCTCTAAATCGATTGAATTTTGAACTTTATTGAAGTTGAATTTCGAGTTTACTGCGCATTTTTGAGTATTTTTTGATCATAATGGAATATATATTATCATGGAACGGTTGATTATTTTATGGAAATTCATCTCAGTTCTTCTGATAATATCTAATTATCAGTGAATAATTGTGTGTACAATAAGGTTACACAGTCGTAGCCAACCTTCATCTTGAAGGCCATTCACCTATTTGTTGGTTCCAACTTTATAACTTTAAATTTCAATGGTTTAGATTCAGATTTAAAATCGATTTGAAATGAGGAGCACGTCAGAATTTTGAAAAAATATGAAAGTTTTAAACAGTTTTGTAGTTGAATCAAGGAAAAAAGTTTAATTCATAAGTTTAATTTATACTTTTTACCGCAATAACTTGTTTATTCTATTTGTTTTCTCGTTTTTTTTCGCCATTCGCTATTTGCAGACTACTTATTTTCGTTCTATTATAATATTTATCTTTTTACCCTTTTTTACGAAGTGATTTACTTTTTATTTAATAGAAGATCAAAAACTTAAATAAGTGGTTATAAATCTTTTTTGATTTGCTTAGTTGGTTGTTAGTGTAAGAAATTTTTGATATCTGATTTGATTTTTGAATCACTTGGCAATAAATGTATTGGTGGCCCGACAGCAGTATCCGATTTTTTAATGAAATTTCAGTGAAATGAGTTTAGGCAAATAACTTTAATAGACGAGACGATATTCTGAGCAATAATTGTTCACTTTTTTATCAATTTATTGTGTTTAAGTACCAAATTTGTTAAAAAAGAAAAGAAATTTAAGGAAGCAGTTTTCTTATGATTTTTTTTCGAAAATAAATGTCTTCCTTTTTTGAAAAAAAAATAATTTCAGTTCAAAAATAGGATTGAAGTTGATGATTTCTATTTTCAAAAAAGAGTAAAAAGAATAAAAAAAGCTATAAAGCTAATTTAGCTATAAAAAGTTTTGTTTAATATGCTATTTACATTATGGTTGAACCTTCCACGAATGAGAAATGGCGACCAAATAGGAAAATTGTCATTATTTTCGCTATAATTGGCTATTAATGTGTTCTAATTGGTATTTTTCGGAACAGGTTTTTATCGTTTTTTGTAATAGAGAAAAATGCTTGTTATAGTCATTTTTATTGTTATCGCTTCCTTTTTTCTTTAATACACCATTTTGGGTTATTCGTGTAATTGTTAATTTTAGCCAATTAATTTGTTGGCTATTCAGTTTCGAGGCGAATTAGTCAATGTTTTGAAAATTGAAATTGTTATGTTAAAACTATCCGTTGGCATCAGTTTTGTAAACTTTTGCGAGAAAATTATTATGGACATTTATGGAATTCGGTTAAAAACCAAGTTCTTCTGGCTTAACTTCGCCTTTAATCTTCTGGTTTATTCTTAGGTTGGTAAGGGTGTTTTTTTTCGTTTTTATTGTTTTCGCTTAGCTGAGGTTTTCGTTCTCGTTTATTGCGAATGAAGTTGTATAAAAGACTGATCGATGGATGGTCATTGCGTTTTATATATAAATATATATAATGCATATTTGTTTGCCTTTTCTCAACAGACTATTGCATTTTGTGTGACGAAGAAATGCAAGAAAAATCGGTGAGGAAAGTTCTTGAACTATTGCGAAGTGGAAAGGGTATTGTTTTTAATGATTTTTGTGAGTTTTTTCCCATTCCGAGCTCCTGAACTTTTAAAATATTTTTCTTTTCTGTGATTAATTGATTTTAGAAAATATTAGTGAGTTTTGATAAGGAATACTGAAATTGGTGGATTTCGTTTGATGAAAAGGAAGTTGTTAATAAATACTAGTAAATCCGAGTGTTCATTAATCTGCTTAGGAAAGAGGGTTTTTTATTTCGATATTTTTTCCGAGAAAATTCGCAAATCTATAATGGGTATATATAAACTTGTTTGTGAATCATGCGAACAGGCGATAGTTGATAAGTATTTTTGAGTATTTTATTATTATTATTGTTTTATTATTTTGCAACGAAAAATGTGGAAATGAATTATAGTTCTCCTAGCTTGTGGATTAATTTTAAGTATTAAAGTGGCAGCTTTTAAAAAATATTTTTGTTGAAATTCATGTTAATTAAATTCACGTCAGATTTATTTTTCAGAGTGAAGGGAAATTTGTGGATGAGGATTTGAGGGTATTTCTTGATATTTCCAGCTTATGGATATGGATATAGACTGTCCAAAAAAGCAGCTAATTTGCAATATAAAAAAATGTTTTATCAAAAAACTTATAATCTAACAAAGAATGAAAATAAAACTTATTTAAATTTTATACCATTTTATTGCTGCCAAATTTCTTCGTTAATATTCATTTCGATTTGATACCATAAGTTTTAAGGAGATGTCTGGAAATCTTGCAAATTTTTGGGAATGTTTTTCATGTTTTTGTCTAAATTTTTTGGAAGAACGACTCTTGAATATCGTTTAGAAAACGAATGTAGTGTTCAGATTTTCCGGAAAGTTATTGAGGAATTTAAATTTTATTAGTTTAGAGTGACAGTTTGATTCCTGCAATTTTCTTGATACGAGCAAGCCTGTCATTAAAAGCGAAGTCCAGGTGATGCTGGGAATCCTCCTGTATTTCCCTTTACTAGTGGTTCAGTTGAGAATTAGCAGGTAGTATGACCTGCCAAAATAGAAATAATGTTAAAGAAAAGGCAAAATTTTGTGGTAGTAATTTTAAAAAATTTAAGATTTCAAAATGACAAAATTTTTACTTAATTTTGGCGAAATTTACATTTAGAAATTATTTTAATAGGTGAAATTGAAAAACAATTTTAATTTCTTTTCGAGCTAAATTATTCGCATGTAAATGGTTGAATTGTGATTTGTGAGTTGTTGGTGGATAACATAAAACAGGTTATTTAATCAGCTGAATTCGATGAAAAGAGAGGAGTATCGTTGAATAAACTGATTAATCATGGAGCAGCGAACTGATTCGAGCGACACAAATATTATTTATTTTTATACATTTTAAACACACTTTAGGCTTTTTATAGGATTTTTTTGTTTGTATCTTGCATCTTTATTTTGGAACGAATAAGAATGGGGATTTCGTGGAATTTCGAAAATTATTTTTAAGAGCTAATTTCTTCCTTTTCTCTTTACAATTTGCATTTTTTATTTCGAATATGTCGATTTAAATATTTTATCAGATTAAATTTTTTTTTGAGTTAACATATAAAGAAAAATGTAGAAAAATATCGAAATTTGTTTGCCTAAGAGGTTACTCTAGCGAGAGGCAATCATTTGGCGATTTGGCGATACGTATATAAAAAATATATATGTCCCCCACCTAGATCGCCATCACCACTCGGATTTCGCTGATAGGTTTACTTGGGCCAGAGGCAGTTGCCAAAGCAATGCTTGAAATCATAACTTAAGCGACTCGACGTCACTCGATTGTATAGTTCCTAATTTTTAATGGTTGTTTTCCTCGAGTTGGTTGAAGGGTTGTTGCATGTTGTTGCAGTTTCAGAGGTGGTTGTAAGTCAGAGATGCTAGAACGATTTTCAAGATTATTTCGCATCATAACGTGAACACTGTGCTAGATAGATGACAAAAGAAAAGATTAACTTAATTGATTGACGATATTAGGTAATTCGGGAATGTATGATTCAGGTGGAACTTGAAATCGATGTTAATTTTTTCGTTTTTTTAAATTTTATGCTGGTTAAACATAAAATATCCAGTTTTATTTGAAATTTTGCAGTATGTCCAGATGTGGTGAGTCAGAAATCGATGAGTTCGTCAGGCGTCGATGAAGCGCAACTGGAGCTTCCATCTAGCGGTGGAGAAGCAAATTATGCATCGAACAGTGATTCTGGCGTTACGCGACGTTCTTTCGGTAGGTTTCATTTAGCTAAATTATACTGGTGTCATTAATTTAAACATTTTATCTTGTTGTATTAGTAGAATTTTAGGTTTAATAAATTTTTTTTTAGTTCTATTTGGATCAATTGTATCGGTTTGGCTAAATCATTTCTTATTTGATAATTTTGATAATTTTATTTGATAATTTTTCATTACTCTATTTTTTCAGCAGCTAATTCTGTTGCTTCTTCCGGTGATATGAGTTTATTTAATGCGTTCGACTGGCCAAGTGTGGATGGAGTTTCAGCTGGTCGTGCTGTAACAGTAGGAGCATTATGCCGGATTATTTGTTCGAAAACAAGTTACGAGTCTCTACCCGATTCACAACTTGCTCAGTTTTACAAAGTACTTTACGAGTCTCTTCTTGAGGTTGGAACTATCTTGGTAAAGAATTGCGAATTTAAAATTTCTTTTGCTAGCCCAAAAAATATTTGTAATTTTGTAGAAGGACAGGCTTATCTTGTGCTCTTTAATTTACTATGGCTCAAATATTTTTCGTCTTGATCTACGTGGAGTTGAAGTGCTCTTACCAGTGCTTGTGGATGCCATCGATATTATCTTAACTGAATCGTCTAAATTAAGGTATGACATCTCACAAAAAAAAATTTTATTGAACATTTGCCCGATAATGAAATTTAGAATTTTTCAGTTGGTTAATTATCATTTTTTATAAGTATTTATAAGTAATCTTTTGAGTTTAACATTTTCAATTCCTTCAATTGCAGGTTACATCCATCAATAAGCGGTATTGAAATGCGTCGTGCTTGCCTTAATATGTTATCGTCTATTATTTGTTGGCCAACTACCTTTAATTCAACTCGAATAGCAGGTTTGAAAATTTCTAAAAAACTGCTCCAAGTTGATTTGATTTATTGAGCGATGAAAGAAAAAAATTTCCATTGCAATTTTTTAAACCATTTTTGCATTATTTTTCTTCGTGATGTTGACTTTATCTGGTAAATATTACGTTCAACGCAAATATTAATTAAAATTTTTTTCTTTCTGTTTTATTCATTCATCATAAGATCCAACTCGTTATTCCTATGGTGCATCAAATGCAGTTTCAAATGATGATAATTCCTTGTCGTACATTGAATTACGTCTAAAAATTCATCAAAATCTTATGCATTCTTTGCGACATGAAACGGATTCCATTAATCTTCATATGACTTTGGGTTAGTCTTTATTTTATTCCTGTTTTTACAAAAATTATTTGATTCTTCTGCAATTAATTTGTCATACTTTTATGAAATTAAATGTTTATTTTTTGTTAGAATAATGATAATATTATTGATTGAATGCCATCAAAAATATTTTTTTTTATATTCTTAAATCCACACATTGACCGTTTTCAGCCATGTGCAATATTTTATGTGAAGAAAGCTACTGGTATGATTCGAGTCAGATCAATTCTTCGAAAAAGATATCAAAGCCGGGAGGAAAATTAGACGATGATCTTCCTGATAACAGGAGTGAAATTTTTTTTTTATTTGAAAAATTTTCAGGTACGAGATGCCATAACAAGATTTATTATTAGTTATCCGCAGATTTTCATTAATTCAACTTTTTTGATCCAAATTTTATTTTTTTGAAAAACTTTGTGAGATCCAGTTTACTTTTAAGTCCAGCATAAATTGCCATTTTTTCGATTTAGCAAGTGATTGTTTCAGAAAATTGTTGTGTGTCTTTCATACGTTCAGTGGTTAGCTCAATTTGTGATAATCTTTGTAAACCGCATTGGTCATCAGACTTATCGGTGTGTTTAGCAGCTATAGATTGTCTCAATGCTTTATCAAGTATCAGCCATTGCTTACTGTTTTATAAACGTGAGTTCAATTAATATAGTTTTTAATTACTTTTATATTATTAGGTGATAGTAGAGAGCGGTACTTTTATCGATAATAGATTTTAAATTGTTCAAATTCTATTTGAATATTTTTATCATGAAGTTCAGGTGATCTCTCGACTGGCTTCCTCATTGTAACATCACTTTGTCGGTTTATTAATAACCAGTTAATGAAACCACCTCCACTCCATTCTCGTGATCTACATTCATCGGTTGGTTCTGTAATGATAAATATTTCTGTACTATTTTTTTGAACCATACTGCATTATTCATCTAGTATTATGTGCCAATCTTTTTTGAGAGCCATCTGAAAAAAAAGAAAGTTCACGAGATGTTATTTTTCATTCATTCAGGTCGTGGCTGCATTTTCAAGTTTAGCAGTATGGTTGTGTGCTGCACCTTTACTTGCTGAAACCGAATCTTGTTTAACTACTATTACCGAAACCATCGAGCTTGGTACCACTGGTGGGAAAAACTTGGTTAGAACTGTGATTCATTTATTATAGAAACCATTGAATGATTAAAAAAAAAACATTTTTTTAGACATTAATTTCTAGCCCATGGAAGAAAGAAAAGCTGCTAGTATTCGAGTGAATGATGCTGCTGAGAATCTTCTCCATGTTTTGTTTACAGCAGTGGTAAATTTTCTTCCTTTAAATTTTATCTATAAATTGAACGCAAACTTAGGCCATATTGATTCATTAGGAGATTCTTCTTCAAACAACTCTCACCATTGCTGATTAAACTGGTTGCGCTGGAGAAAAGAGTGAGATGTTTCCAAGCTGCTGGATCTGATGCCATCGTTGAGAGTAATAGAAGCCATCCTTTTTCCATCGTCTAAGTCCATATATTGCTGGTCCACCTATACGTTCAACCTAAAGCCTTTCCTGACTATATCAGGCAGGGTTTTGATTAGTCCTTTCCGCTTTTGACGTCATCCATTACATGGTTTAGCAAGTAGTAACGAGCAAATAATGCGTCAACTCCTGTGGTGGACGACGGAGAACGTTCCCTAACCAACGAAGACGATGTTCTATGATAACATTATTAGTACAGGTGGTATTTGAGCGAAGATGGATACAATCATTTGCGATTTTATCCATTTAGTGGACCCGTAAAATAAATCTTGCACATGTGTGGTCAAAGGCTGATAGCTTCTTAATATCTTACACTACTATCCTCAAACCAAGGTATGCTGATAAAATATCTTTATGAGCCGAATGATCTTCTCTGGGACATCGTCACATTCCATCATTTTCCAGGGTGCTGCTCTATCAACAGAATTGAAGGCAGCTGCAAAATTGATAAAACAAGTGATGGTGAGTTGCTGGTATTTGAAGCGATGTTCCAGCAGCCTTCTTAGCGTAAGTATCTAGTCAACACAACTGCATCCTGGTCTGAAACCAGCTTGATTAAAACGCACTCTGCGATTTCGTGTTGCCATGAGTCTATTTAATAGCAAGGGAGCGAAAATTTTTCCGGAGATGTTAATAGGCTAATTTTTCAGCAATCGTCGTAGTATGTTATCTTTCTCAGGAATTGGAAGCAGAATTGTTTTGCTCCAGTTTTCTGGTATTATTTCTTTTTGTCATACCAGAGGGTATATTTGTTGAAAGTGACCTATGAACGATGACGGACAACATTTGAAAAATTCAGTCCGAAGACTATCTTCTTCGGGAGTTTTATTGGCCTTAAGCTTATGCATTTTGGAGATTATGGGGATTTTGTCTTCTGTTGGCCATTGGCAATTATAAGCGTATGGCTTTGCCAGCGAACTGGCTATATCCAAGGCAACAAATGGCACAAATCGTGGTTAAATTTGACCTGAAAAAATTCTTTGCATCTTATCATTAATAGCCTTAACAGGTGCCTTATTAATTTCCTATATCATTTCACTGACCCCCTTCTCGAGTTACATTTGCTTTATAAAGAAGGCGATATTGTTTCCTATTATCACTTAATCACTTAACCGAGTGGCCGTCTTCATTCTCAAGACCATATCACTCCAACAGTGATTTTTGTCCCGCTGTACTGCTGTTGTTGTAATTCTTCGAAATATCCTGATAATCAGAATTTTCTGATATTCGACTTTAGCAGCTTTTTCAGTTGGATTGTTGCTTCAGACACCCAACTAGCGTATTTCCTACTAGTATATGCTAGTACCGAAGTGGTTGAATTTTTAAGCGTGTAAGTATGTTTTTAATCGGGACCAATATTCATCCGCTGCTCGAGAGATATCATTTACATTCATTTCACTGAGTGATTTCAATAACACGCTTGATGTTGCTTTATCTTTTAATCTGAGATAATTGAAAGATCTTGGGATGCGTTGTTTCTTACGGCTTGTCAGTTTTATGCGAATCTTGACTCGAACCATAACATGGTCTTATCCTTGGTTATTACCAGTTTCAATGCGCCTATGAGAACAACTACCAAAACTACAGATCTTCCAGCGATGACTGATTAATATATAGCCAATCTAATTTGAGTATTGGTTGTCCGGAGAGTTCCACGTGATTAGATATTTCCTTCGATACCAAAACAAAGAGGTCATGCTGTTCGGCAAAAGGAAAGAGGCGTTCTCCACTGGCGCAGAGGATCCCTATGGCACATTACCGAATTCATTATAACAATATCATGACCTAAGAAAAATGGAGATAATTAAATTGAATTTCGAAGAAGAAAAAAAATTTAAAGATAAAAAAAATTTAAGGAGAAAAAAAATTTATCCGATTCCGATTCGATGCTAGCAAATAGTTTAGTAATAAGAATAATTTTTATTAAATATATTGAATTTATTAATTTTAAATATATTGAATATTGAATTACCAATATAATAAAGATAAAATAATAATATCGTAAATGGTAGAGCAACTTCGAAAATCGACCACTCGCGATAATTGCAATTACAGGCTAACCAATAATTATTTCGCTGTATTATATTTGATATCTTTTTTTCCTTGCCTCATATCAACTTTGTTAATACTTTTTTGAATGTTGTTCGATTGTATTAGAGCTCGTTACATTATTAATTGTAAGATTAAGAATATTGGGCTGAAAAAACATTGAGATTTCAAGACAGTTGGTTTGAGGCAAGTGATGTCAAATATGATACAGCGAAGTAATTATTGGCAAAGGATAGAATACAAGAGCGAAGGAGAATGAAGGGAATTAAGGAGGAAGAGTAAATAGCTTATTGTCAGCTCTGTGTTTCAGGGAAATTGATATGGGAAGAGTTGATATAGAAATGGTGCCATAAATTTTTATTCTGAAATTACTTTTGCAGAAAGATATTATGTGCTTTGCTTATGGTTTTTGTTCGTCAGCAAATATCTGCCTCGCCAGAGATGGATTTAGTGGTATCTCGACAAGCGGAGGAAATTAAAAATGTCTTAAAAGCAGTATCGTTCCTCATTTTAAATTGTAAAAAAGAATTCCAAGAATTCATTTGGGAAATTTGTTTAAAATTTTTGCTGAGTGCAAGTGATTTGCTGCTTGTCGGTCATTATAATGCTGGTAATTTTTAATATTACAGCTTGCATTTAGTGGATTCATTAGAACTCTTCATATAACTATTTATTTTTGAAAAAATTTTGATCTCACTGTTCCATTTACTATATTACTATATTTACTTCTTTGTTGGTCAATATTATTTGTTCGATATATTCAATTAAAGTTCAATTAAAGCAGATGATTCAATTAAAGTTCAAAAGTTTAGATGATTTTGGTGCTTCTGATGTTATTGGAACATTATTGGACGAATTTCTGCGTGCGGCGCGTTATGAATATTTACCTTCTCCTTCATATTGGAAGACATTAACGATTGCTTGCAGAAGATGGAAGCACCAGGTTTTTAAAATATTATATTATAAAATAAAATATTTGAGCAAATTTGTGAGTTTATATGGCCAACTTTTTTAATATAATGGAGCCACTTGTTCCTATTTCAGGTGCCACTAATAGAAAGCTGGGCTCGTAAAGTATTATCACTATCAATTTTAGTCGTTAGAGATTTATATGGGATGGAATCTTGTTCCCTCGACAAAAGTTTGTCATTTAAAAGTTTGTATAAGGTTCAAGATTTGAAATAAGGCTGCTTTCATTTTCTAGTTTATATTCGCTTTTTCTTCTTTATAAAATTTGCATATTAGATCGAATATGAAATTTTGCAGTTGACAGTGAAATCAAGCATTTCGAAGTTTTTATTGGTAAATCTGAACCCAGTAGTCAATCTATATTATATATTTGTTGGTTCCAAATGCTTCATCTTCTGGGCAATCCTGCTGATATTATTTTTTTCAATCCTGCACTTGAAGCAGTTTTACCACTTAATCCAATCAAGGCAATATTGAAATGTGGTAAGCGAATTCAATTATGATTATGATTGCACTTCCTATTTATTTTATTATTTAATTGTGTTTTATATTTTTACTAATATATTATATTCATTGTATATTTCATTATCCACCTTATTTTTATTTATTTTATTCATTGTAGGAATTGAGATGAATTCAGAAGGTCGATCGGTTATCAAAAATTTAGACCAAGAATTATCACCTTATTTGGTCAATCGTGTCCGATATTGCTTCTTTTTGGCATGTGCTGCTTTTGCGAAACTGATCGACATTTTCTATGGTACCATATAATTATAGAATAGTCAGTAGGATATGTTAT